GACTGACAGCTGGCTCTGACTATATAGAGGCAGAGCCAGCTGTACCCTCCCCTGTCCGATCCACCAGTCAGCGCTGGTGGATAGGAGCGAGGAGGGGGGAATCCAGCCCCTCCCCTGTCACGGCAGAGAGCCGTGACAGGATCGAGAGGTGAGCGAACGCCGGTATGTGTTCGCTCACCTCCCGATCTACTGTGCCGTCCTGTGACAGTCTCATTGTCACAGGTCGGCTAGAACTATGAGTGAAAAGCACTCACCTCATAGTTCTCCTTTCAGTCTGAATGCTGTGACATAATTTCAGGTGCTTGCGATGATCCATTGTGGTCTCGCATAGCAGCAGAAAACCTGAGGCTGGACAGCATGGGGGGATCACCACTGAGACCAATGCAGGCTCGGAGGAAGGGCAAGACGGCAATGGCTGCTCCCAGGCCTAAGCCTGCGGTGGTAAGTGATGCTACAGTACCACACGCAGGGTGAGGGGGATGCAATTCGCTTAGGTGGTGGGTCAAAGGTTCCGTATGTGCTCTGTGGTATGAATAGTAGGGGGAGGAAGTCTGATTTAAATTAACACCACATTGGTCCACTCTGACCAATATGTGAGGGTAATTTAAACCAGGCTTCCTTTCATTCAGCTGTGACATGTCTGAGCCCCTGCTGACCATTTGGGTCTGGTATGTCTGTTGAAGGAAAGAAGGGACAAGATCTAAAGTCGGAGTTAAAACCTGGTTTATTGCCTGGCCCTATAAGCCATTGGGGCTTCAGGAACTCCAGAATACAAACTCTCCATAGAATTAAATGGAAGGCGCATAGCGCATGTGTCAGTCCAGTTTAAAAGGTTTTGACAAAGTGCTACCTTAGACCATTTAGGCCAATATAGAACAAACGCACAAGCATAGTGTACACCTTCATAAAACCTTTGTTAAAAATGGTTAAGATGGATATTCTCAAACATTCAATACAAGCTTGCTTTGTCATATAAAGTATCCCGGAGGAGATGGTAGATCCTGTTGGACAGCATGCAGCCGATGTCTCTAGCGTGCGTCACCGCTGACGGCTTTACAGGGTGGACCCTCTTCATCAGACCTAGTTTGTTTACACGCTTACTATCTTTAAATAGCCAATCTACTGCTTCCTTCTAGCATTCATTAATTACTAGCACACATATTCAGGGCTCATGTAGGCTTTTTGTCTGCACTTGACACAGGTCCACAAAGCTCTATAGACTTCAATAGAGTAATGTTGATGACCACTCACATGCTGTTTGACCTGCTTTGCATTGTTTGTTCATATGCAGCATGTCTTATTGAGGCTAAGCAGTTACCAAGCGTCCTTTGTTTGTTGAATGTTGTTTGCATTCAGTTCCATGTCCCTAATGAAGGTTGTTAAATGGAAGATGATTGACAGGGGCACCTCTGTACATGAGACCTTACTGACAGCCAGGGAGTAGACATGAAATTTGACCAGCCTTGAATGGCTACTTTCACTTTCTGTTGCTGTCCAGCTAATGGCAGGAGAATGACCCTTTGTGTTTATAGACCAGCGTTTCTTATTCTTTTTTCAGTCATGGCACCCTTAAAAACTATGCAAAATCTCAAGGCACCCCAGACTAAAATGTAATGGATTTTAAGGGGCCACCTGATGCAGTGGTTACTCCCTCTACATTGAAGCCCCCTCCTTCACATCAGAATACCTTTACATTAACAGCCCCCTTCACTTCAAGAGCTCTTAACATTTGAAGCCCCCTTTACTTCAGAGTCCCCCAGCTATTTTAGAGCCCTCCTTTCACATGAGTGCCCCCTTCACATCAGAATCCTACGATAACAACATTTCGAGGCACCCCTGAAGAAGCCAGAAGGTGCCAGGGCACACTGGTTGAGAAAGGCTGTTATACATTGTTTGATTTCAGGACGGCCTGAAAGGGTCCTTAACTAATGGCACAACTTTGCAACCATTGATCATTTAAAATCCTCCCAGCACAGACCAGAGCGGTGGCCTTTGTTCCCCTTGAAGGGTAAAACCACCTCTGCTGAAGCTCCTCTGTATACCATTAAAAATTGAAAGAGTTTTACCCCATGTGTGGCGCTTGTTAGAGGTAGGGGGAAATGCGGGGGAGAGGCAGTACTTGGTGGGTACACCGGTTATCGCTTGTGGTGTGATGGGTATAAGTATAGGGGGGTGGGGGTAGTTGTGCAGGTGTGCGGCTTCCATTCTGTCTGGACCGGGGTGTCCAACAAGTGTGCTGTAGGGAAACAAAAAATTGGAGACTATACCAACCTCCTGCAGTGAGCACAGTTTGCATTAGTCGGCTCTGCAAGTTGAGCAGGTTTTGTGAATGTATTTGTGTGTATCATATATTATAAAATGTGGCTGTACTCTTATGTTGGTTAAAACGATTTGTTTATTGGCACGTAAACCCTATGGCCTACATCCAGGGGTATATTTAGTTTTGGGTGGAGTGCTTTAATTTACAGCCTCTGTTCATTGCTAGTGCTAAATTAGTTTGAATGTCTACGTCATTGTTTGCTCAGCCATTTTTGTTGTATGATTCAGATGGTTGTCTAGGATGAAGTGTATGCATTCTCAGATTGGTGCCTTGGAATTAGTTTAATCATTGTATGTGTGGCAATCATCTCAATGTAAATCTGACCATCAATGTAACCATTTGTTTCTGTGTTTTTTGTAAGGTTATAACTTTGCGTTTTGGTCTGTGACCTTATTGGGGGACACGTTCCTTATTTCCTGTCCCTGTGATTCCCATGGAGGAATTGGGAGGGGGGGCAAGTAGTAGTCACCGGAACAAGAATACATGGATGGCAAAAACGGTGGAAGCTGTATCGTTCCCCAGTCAAATAAAAGTGGCTTTTTGTTTTGGCCATGTCTTGGCTGGAGGAATTTACAATCACTTCCTGTCCTGACAGGAAGTTGGGGGGGTGGAATCCTTGTATTACATAGATGGCAATAAAATCCTGACACTCTAACCCTTTTCTACTCTAACAATTGGCTGTAGTTTGGCTTTCATTAGTTTGATGAAGCACAGTTGTGTGGTCTGTGCTGAAATCTTTCTTTATCATTTTGTTCAGGTCTCTCCCTGGGACAACTGCAGCAGAATGTGAATCAAACCTTAAGAAGATATACACTGTGCAAACTATACAGGTCAGTATTGCTTGGGATTTAAGGAAAATCTTGTAACACTATCTCGGCACAACCTTTCTACTGTGACCCCATTTTCCTAACAGTGCTAATCAGCATAGGCTTGCCCCCCCCCAACAAAGTTTAACCAATCGCCATTGGCCAGATTTAAAGCTCATGTAAAACGGATTTACTAGTGTCATATGTTCTTGGTTTATTATCAAACTGCTCTGTACTGGCAGCATGCTGGTGGACCAGACCAATTCTCACACAGCTTGCCAGGGTCTGGAGCTCCAGCATTTCCACACACAGCTGTCAGTGCTCCAATGAGCAATGCTGGTCAGGGAGTGTTGATTGGCGGAGAGTAGTATGACTATGTAGGGTGTGTTGTGTCACTGCATTCTGTATGGATCAACAGTTCATGAAACCTGCCTCGCAGCACAATGGAGATTCAAAGTATTAAAGCCCTAAAACCTGTTGCCCAACCTGCAGCCCTTCGATACAAATTGTGGGACCCATGTACACAGTCTTGCCTGGGTGCAAACTCAGTCATGTGAATGACAAAATAATTTGACTGCCAGTAGTTAAATGGCTTTTTATCTCTGATATTTTAGAATAGATCTTGGTGAGAGATGTGGCAAATAATGTTTAAGGAGGCTGTAGGGAGCACACATTTGGAAGAATTGGTATTTAAAGGAGAACTATGTGGTGAGTGCTTTTCACTCCATCCTCACAGCTGACCTGTGACAAAGACACTGTTACAAGTCGGCTGTATTGATCGGGAAGCGAGTGAACACATAACGTCGCTCGCTCACTTTCCGATCATCTCCCTACCAGTCACCGCTCCCTACAGGGATTCCCCCTCCCCTCTCCGATCCTCCAGCGCTGAGTGAAGGAACGAGAAGGGGCGCACACACCTGGCTCTGCCTCTAGATAGGCAGAGCCCGCTGTCACTCACACAGCTGGGTAGATCCAGACAGTATAAGGATCCGTCCCAGCTGCGGTGCGCTCAGTATATCGCAGGGAATAGCCCGCTATATACGGAGCTTTGGGTCACGGGAGGAGGTTAGTATAGGTCCACCTGTGACCCTAAACACTTACCCCATAGTTCTCTTTTAAAGTGGCTGTAATGTGTCCAGCCTAGGGCTCCTATAGCAGTCAAGGCCCAGTCTGTCCGGGCTGAAAACAACTTTATTCAAGTTCCATCATAAACATGGACATTCCAACCCAGTCCTTCCTCAGTCCAGGACTGCTGGAGCATGTCTCCAGCAATGTCTATAGTATTTCTGCAGTGTCCGACATCTCGTGTAGCACAACTGTAGTCTCTAACTATCTCCTGTTGCATGTCTGCAGTCTGACAGCTGTCAATGTGTTCACTGAATTGTGAGACCACCTATATCAAGTAGGTTGACCACTACTTGTCTAAAAACAACCACTGTTCAAACTGCTTCTAAAGAAAACAGTCTTTACTTTTAGGCCTCATTGACTGCACCCCCCAATATGCAAATATAAAGGTTAATTTTGGGGTTTAAGTGATAAGTACAGTATCATTTACTTATGCAGTATTTGCGCAAATGGTGTATTGATGTACACACTTTTTGCAAAGTGAACACACCAGGATTAGAATCTTTTTATTTTAAAGGTTTCTGCTGAATCCAACAAGATTTGTAAATTGGTCATATGGCTAAAAATAAAGATCTGTCCTTGTAATAGCTACACAATAACCATCTAGAAAAGTAACAAGCTTATCTGGCAACTGATTCTCAGTTTGTTTTCTGTGTTTTTTTTTAATTCTGTTTCTAGTGTTCTACTTTGAGCCGAGATGTGAGTGTTTAACTTGTAATAAGGTCATTAATGGTATTCTTCTATTACAGAGTTTCTGGGGTGTTTATAATAACATCCCTCCTGTGACACAACTACCTCTACGCTGTAGCTACCACTTAATGAGGGGAGAGAGGAAACCATTATGGCAAGTGTTTGCTTTACTGCTTGGGTCACTTTCCTTTGGTGTCTGCGCAACGGCATAGCTGTGGGTTTTAACCCTTTTTGCTGCCGAGGTGTTTTTTTTGCACACGTTGTAATTCACATTTTAGGCCTGAAAATTACTTAAAACAAGTCATACATTTAATGAAGGCACACTCTAGAAAATAAAATGGCGTCAGTTTAAAATGCTTACATTGCATGATATTAGCTCAACTCTTTATCAAACCCAAAAGTTCTGGAAAAATTGCACTTTATTTTGGTGCACTGAAACACAATTCCCCTTTTCTGGTAAATATATAAATGAGATTATGCAGAGTAAATGCCCAACATGCCAAGCTTAAAAGTTGTGTGCCTGTGAAATGGTGACAAAGAACGGTATCCCAAATTGTCCATAGGCAATGTTTATTTTATTTTTTTAAAGCCTGTACAGCTCGTGGTGACACCTTCTCTTTAAGCTGACATTAGGGGTCTATTAGACCACTAGTGGAACCTTTCCACTTCAAAGAAGCTTTTCAAGCACAGGTTGTCGCTTGAATAGCTTCTTCCCTAGTTTGGGAATGACTGCTGAGGGACTGGAAGTGATGCAATCTTTGTCTCTTCCAGCTCCATTCAGTGGAGAGGTCCCTGTCCCCTCTATTCAGACACCCACAATGCTGCTCCCAGGCTTGCAGCAGGGGCACCGGAGCCTGGGAAGCAAGGCGGAGGGGGTCACTCTTTACTGCCTACTGGAAGTGACCTGGTCCGTCTCATACTCCAGAAATGTTTCCAGTGTAAAGCCGACACTCCGCTTTATGCAGGTAAACAGACTAGCTGCCAGAAATCTGTTTACAGGGGCCTGCTGCCAGTGACCTCTGTGGGTTCCTTAAATGGGTTCTCGAAGTATTTTCATTGTTACTATAGTTGAAGGTGACAAATTAAAGTGGTTTTGTGATGGGGGTCACTGCTAGGTTTGCTGTCCACATAAATATTCTAATTGGTTCTCTTCCAGGTTCTGTTCAATGTCACCTTTTAATTTCACTTTTTGTTTCAGGGAGGAAGAAAGCAACGCTAAGGGAGGGGTATGGAAGATGAAAATCTCTAAAGAAAGCACAGTATGTATGATTTGTTCTATCAAAAGAATTTGAGGACTTTGTTACAATATTTTTAGTAGAATAGAGATGTAATGCTGTATTTAAGAGTTCGAAGTAGCCAACATTTGTTGACCAGTGGCCTTCTATGTTCCACATGTCTGGGTCATGAAAATAACCCTGTTAGACATCATATAACACCTTAGAAATGATAACTACTTCATGGACACCTGACCTGAGAAACAGGGGCTGCCACTGATGATCTCTACTTTTATCATTCTATTTACCTGGATGTCATTCTGACACTCTAGTTTCAATACTTTGAGTCATAACCATGTATACGAAACCGTTCTTAAGTTTGTATTAATGTCTGTCTCTGCAAGGGAGTTTATTCATCTTTTGGTCATGGAGACCATTATCACTTGATCAGTCGGTGAAGGAAAGTCCAGCAATTGAGTTTTAGAAGTTGACCAGCCACAAATTGCTCGGTTTACAGCATGACTGGCCAATATCTTCTGTAGCTTTTTAGACATGCTAAGTGAGCCTTCAGAGTTGTATAGAGCTATATTCTTGGGTGAGCCCTCAGTTATATAGAGCCATACCTCCCAAGTGTTACCGGTCTCGGGACATGTCTGAGGACACATAACATGTCAACCACTCCAATCAATTCATTACTAGCTTTTTAAAGCAAGGTATACATGGACAGGGCATTTCACGGAATACCAACATTTACCAGCTAGTTTTCTACACTTCATGGGTTTCCACAATTTGTACGATACAAACAGGTTTTATTCACATGCATGTGCAAATATATCTGGAAACCACACTTTCTTGCCACAGGTACAGCCAGGCCTGATCAGGATTTTAACCAGAGGCTGTAAACATTGGCACAGGCAGTGGCTGTGCTAATGTAGGAAGAAAGATGTTTGGGAAGTTTTAGTGCCAATTAGATCAAGACTAGGGATGGTGGATTAGAATAGTGTTAAAGGTACACATGTCCTTCAACTAGGGGTGCACCGATACTAGTATTTGGGCGAGTACTCTTATTCGCCTAAATGCTCAGATACCTTTCCTGATACTGGAACTTCCGGTCATAGGGAGATTTCCTCTGACCAGCAGTGCCGCGAGGGAACATGGAGCCGGGAAGCTTGCTCCATGCTGTTTAGCTGGTTCAATGCTGATTGGCCAGGAAGCCGGCTACCCAGCCAATCAGTGTCGAGCCGGGCAAACCTGATAATATGGCGACACGATCCCTCCCCCCCCCACCCTGCAGACAAATCATTCCCCTCACATAGATCCTTAGCAGCCATCATTACTGTACCAGTCCCTCGGCCAGCTGGCAGACACTGATCTCCCAGATCTGCCCACATCTCCTGTGTGTACAGCGCCACATGATCGGCCCTCAGCCTGCTACTGCGCATGCAGACTGCCCAGTGCTCTTTCAGAAATGAGAGCAGGCTGAGGACCGATCATGTGGGCGCTGTACACACCAGAGACCTGGGCAGATCCTGGAGAGCAGTGTCTGCCCAGCTGGCTGAGGAACTGGTATGGTAATGACTGCTGCTAAGGATATGTCGGGGGAATGGGGTGTCTGCAGGGTTGGGGGTCGTGTCACCATATTGTCAGATTTGTTTGGCCGACCTCAATGCCGATTGGCTGGGAAGCCGGCTTCCCGGGCCAATAAGCATCGAGCCGGCCAAACCGAATGGAATCGGCTTCCCAGGCAATCAAGAAGCCGGGTGGTGGGTAATGATGCGCCGCCTGGCTCGCTCATTGCCCGGGAAGCCGACTATGCTACCGGAAGTACCGGTATCTTTGGATCCCTACCTTCAACTGAAAGCATTGAGACCAGGGTCAGTGTTACAGCCAGGCAAAGGCAGCCCCTGAACCTCTCATGATGGGTTTTCTTTAAGGTTGTTGTGTTTCTGGTCTTTCCTTGTATGAACTTTTTCCTTACTGCAGACAGGATAAATGAAAGTTCTTCAGCTTCTGCTTTGGAATTGTTTTCAGAGACTGTACTGGCACATTGGATAGTACACTCCACTGTGGCAGAGTTTAGCATACGAGTAAAGCACCATGGGATACTCGGATGCTGTATAAATAAAAACTGGGTCATTCCATGGAGACCATGCTGCAATGAAGTCATATGGGATATCCACTGTGAGCCTCTTGTATCTTCTGTAATGTTGTTCCTCCCTTTTTAGAGGTCCTAATGGCTTTAGCTCTATCAATTTCTGTTTTCACAGGCATTGGTTTGGAAAGAACTGTTGCTAGCTACTATTGGAGAGCAGTTTACCGATCGCTGTTCAACAGGTAAATAGCAGAAACAATCTTGCTATATCGTTCTGATAACCTTTTTTAAAAATTTCAACATGAAGTCACAGTATCTCATTCCTGATAGTTGAAAAGTGACGGCACCACCAACTTGCAACTTAATGACCAAGGACAAATGTGGGTCCAGAGGTCACACAGGTTGAGAACCACTGGTATAAACAATGTTTCAAGACAGTAATTTGAAAAATACCTGCAATCTACTGTATATTTCTGGTCCTATAGTCCACAGCTGCTTCCTCCATGTTGAGTGTTGGTATTTGAACATCTGGTAGTGGATGCAGATGTTTGTAGGGTGTATGTGTCCTATACATTCTCACAGCTGCAGATGATGGTGACGCTCCTGAAAGATGGCTGTTGTCGGGCTACAATCTTATGGAGCTCAGCCACAGGGGCTTGTGAGCAATGAAGGAGCCTGCAAATTGTTAGGTTATCACACGGGAGACTTTGGGCTTGTTTAGTCGGGACCAAATATCTGTTCAAAATTGGCAGCAAGATGATGTTTGTTAAATAACTAGTGTTATTGGTTTAAAAGCTGTTTTGGCTGGCAGGTTAACACTGATATGAATAACTGGTGGTGCTGCCACATCTACTATACTGAGGGGGGAATTTATCAAAGCACTTGCGACAGTTTTAGCCTCTTGGATCATTTTTTTTATGTGCAAATCTGTCTTTCAACATGTACCCCTGTTTTCTTCAGAGCTTGCACTACTTTTCCAACTGCATGTGTTTTGCACGTGTTTTCATCTGCACTTGTTCTGCAGCTGTCTGAAACTGGAGCATCACCTAAGAAAACACTCACAACCTAAGTCCCCATGACTTCTTCAAGATGCGGCAGTTAAGCGTTTTGCCTGAAGTTACAAGTCTTCTTTCCTGGAGTCTATTAAACCTAATTTATCAACAACATTACACTAGCTTGATAAATATGGTGCAAATATATTCCATGCAAGTTCAAACACTCGCAATTGCTTTGATAAATTCCCCCCCCTGTATCTTTATAGCTTCCCCCCCTGTATCTTTATAGCTTATCACCACATACTGCTATGCAAAAAAAGTATATAAACAAGGTAACATTCACTTCCTTCTGGCCCACAGGCATGACAATATCTGGTAGGGAGTTTGTGTCCCAGTTGCAACATTGTTATACAAACTCAGGAATATAATGCGATCTTGTAACTCTTCAATTTTCGACTCCAGGCAAGCGAAATACATAATTGAAATACACATTATGTGAGGAGGTGTGGCAAAGAATTTAAAATGTTATTTTTAGCCATTTTTGTGCTCCTCGCATCCCTGCCAAATGCACTAACCAGGTCTCAGATCTCCACTGATGTTACATGAAGCTTCGTCCAGGACACTCCCCCAGCAGCTGCTAATCTGGCTGTGAGGGCACCTTGCTCCAGTGAGTCGTGATGCATATGAATCTTCACCTCCCCAATAAATATGCACTGCAGCAGAGGCTACATTGGTTCATAGTACAGACTGCCTCTTCCCGTCTGACGCATGCCACCTTTTTTTTTTTTCCAGAAGACGTTACAAAGTCAAAATTTATTTAAAAATACCTTTTAATGTGTAACTCCAACTGTTTTTTTGGGTTTTTTTTTTAAGTGCCTGAAGCATCAGCTTTAGATTCACCTCTTAAAAGCATGAACATCCAGCAAGTCATTGTATAGTACATAAACTTGCTGAATGTTGTATGCTGCTGTGGTTTTCATATCCATCTGTTATCCATTGCAGTTAGGCTGGTTTTGTTTTTTTTTTTTTGTTTTTTTTACTGCAGAACTAAATCACTGAGCATGTCACACACGGCAAAGAAAGCTTGCCTTGTGCTGGGATCCCTGGCTTGTAAAGCACTAAAAGCTCTTGCCGGTATTTAATAGCCTGACATGCCAACATAGGAGCCTGGACATTTACTTCTATTTACAACTTTGTAAAGAACTGAAAAGTTTGCAATCATAACTTTGTAGGTACTTTTTGACTGCTGGTCTCCTGGAGTCTGACCTAGTTCCAGTTTATGAGCACTAATGGCATCCACTGCTACCAGTTGGGCTAGTTTGTCATTGGTACTAGTATGTGGTTCAGCAGAGGCTTCTGATGCATGTGTTTTTTTGTGAAAGAACCTTTAATTTCCTCCTCTTATAGTAATCTTCTATAACAGTGTGTGTTGCGATTTTCTTCTAGAGGATGAAGTGATTGGTGTCAGTGTGAGTGTACGTGACCGTGAAGATGTTGTCCAGGTGTGGAATGGAAATGCCTCCGTAGTTGGTGAAGCCAGAGTCCTAGAAAAGATCTACGAGCTTCTGCCAAACACAACTTTTAAAGCTGTATTTTATAAGCGTAAGTATTTACTGACATCGAATTGTTAGCCGGATCAAATTTATTTTGGTTGACCTCCGTTCTGCTGTTCGGGTGTTTTGGTCAGTTACTGATGCACCTTCCTGAAGTTTCTGGAACACTAGTGATGGGTCCTTGTGGAGCACACACTGGCCAGACTAAATAGGTGTCAGATTTGTCAAGGTTGGGCTTTGTACCATAATCAGTTCTGTTGCCATACAATAACTTTTTCAGCAATGCAGAATACCACCAGCAATAGAGGGCCACAAATCTCAGGAATACATTATACAGCAGTGCAGAATACCACCAGCTATAGAAGACTACAAATCTCAGGAATACAGCAGTGCCGGATACCAGCTATAGAGGGCTACGAATCTCAGGAATACATTATACAGCAATGTAGAATACCACCAGCTATAGAGGGCAACAAATCTCAGCAATACATTATTCAGCAATGTAGAATACCACCAGCTATAGAGGGCTACAAATCTCAGCAATACATTATTCAGCAATGTAGAAGAAAGCACAGGATAGAAACGACAGGCAATATTTCTAAAGTAGCTGTGGAGGTCAGGTGCAGTGTTGCTGCCACATACCTGTACATAGAGCACTCCGTGCTGCCACTTTGCTCCAAGGTGCTGGCCTGATGTCTCCAAGCAGAGGGTCTCGGGAGGGGCAGGGACAGTAGAAGAGCTTTAAACAGAGGCACTAAGTGGTCCCCAGTAAGCGCTGCATTTTTTTTGGGCATCAGAGCGTTTGTGCAAATGCTCAGTTTTGCTACCGTTAATGCTACTGGTGCATCACTAATGTATAAATTTCCCAAAAATCCAATTGACGACCATTTCAGCTTCCTTCTCACAAATGTTGAATGTTTCCATTATAAGCAGTCTGTCCAGTGATTTTTCTCTCCCCAGTCACATCTGCATTGTCCTATTTATACAGTATTTCCTTGGATGTAGATGTACTTTGGTGACGGGAACACTCTGTGCTGTCCTTGCAGTGACCTTATCTGCCTCCTCTGGTAGATGCAAATAAAGTTCCATGCATGCTGGACCCGAGTGCTTCTCTCACTATGGTTTAGTTTTGATGAAATAGTGTGCTTTTTGTTGCGTAGGCTCCAGTTGCCTGCATGTACATCACAAAACACTTTACAGTTCCCTTCTCCCTCAAGAATACACAGTAGGAGAGCATGCCTTGTGCTGAGCTGCTTTCAGAGTAATAGGTCGGCTATAATGTAGAGAACTGTTCTCATTTTGAGCTAGTGCAGAGTGAAATCCTATAGAAATCCATTTTTATGTTTTGTTTTTTTTAACACGTGTGCTGAAATATGAAGACTGCCAGTTGCCTTGCTGAGCCAAGATCTGTTTTTTTTCAGTTTTGACCCAAATGTGCTTGCAGCCAATAGTTGGAGCAGTACAGGACAGCGGAGGAAGCAAATCATTAGACATTTGCCCCTAGAAAGTGTCCCCATTTGAAAGATTTTCCCCTTTTCTGGTGGCAGTGTCACCGGGGCAAATAGGGTAAATTTCCCCAGGAGGGACATGTCGGCAAAAAACGATGCTTTGTATATATGTACATTAAAGTGGAACTAAACTGTCCATGGAAACTTTCCCGATGGCATAGTGCAGCAAATATACATCTATGCAATCAATAGTATCGGGGTCCTCCCAGCAGGTGATGTATACCTGCACATGCCCAGTGTTCTTCTTTCTCAGCATCCTTGCCATGCTGGGATCTGAAGAGCACCTTGCTGGGGTGACTTGGCCTCTAGCTCTATCATAGACGCTCACTCGTGCAATTAGGAATGCACCGATCTATCGGCCGAAATGGCACTTTTGGCTAAATGCCAAAAGTGCAATTTTTATGCCGCTATAGCAGTGCATCCGTGCTTTCTTTGCTCCCCGCTGGGTGCTGCTCTGTGTCCCAGCGGGGAGGAGAGCTTTGAGCGGCCGTTATCTCTCCTCCCTGCACCGCTTGGCTTCCTGTCGCAGATCTGCAGAGCGGTGTGGCGGCAGAGACAGCCAGCGCTGTCGCAGGAGACTGAGCTCTCCCGCACCACTCGCTCAGCCTCCTGTGACAGCTGGCGGGATGGAGAGCGGGTACAAGCAGTCGGTGATCGCTGAGTGTTTGTAAATTTAGGACATGGTATGTTTTACTGTGCTCAGGAATGAATGGGAAGTGATCTACATCACCTCCTGTTCATTCAGGATTGTGGTTATAGTAAACATTCTCTGTCATGTTATGAATGATCATGAACACTCAGTATAGAGGATTCCTGTTCATTTATAACAGGGGCTGCAGGAAGAGATTGAGGGCTTTGTGTTCTCAATTTTTATTGTTTCTTAACCCCTTCGTGACTGACGACATACAGTGTACGTCGCCAGCATCGGGGCTGTTTAAACAGACTCCCGGCGACTTTTGCCGCCGGGAGTCTGTTTAAACTTGTAGAGCCGACTGTCGGCTTTACAACAGAAGCGATCCTGGCGACTTACCTGTCGCCAGATCGCTTCTGC